ACCCGTGACGGCTGCAGCATCCAAAAACTCGCGTCGGGCCCTAGCTAAAATAAATTGAAAATATTTCAAGTCTCAAACCGTTCAAATGATTTATTTAAACGTGTGTTATACGCGTGAACTACATACAATACTGTTAAATAAAACACGATATATATTACTTAAACTAAAGTGAAAATTATTGTAAACTACGGTTCGACGTTTCGGCTTTGCAGCAGCCGTGGTCACGGGGAGGCTAAAGATAGAGAAAAATGCTGCTACGCTTAAATGGCAATGGATACTCACTGTGCATGGTTTATTATTGTTGATTAGGTAAATTATTAAATAATTTACCTTATCATTAAGTTTTGTAAATCTCTCTCTCGCTTTATAGCGATAAAGTCGCCTTTTCTCGCTACATTTTGTTTTTTTTAATTAAGTTTAATTTTGTAACATTGTGGCGACAATAAAGTATTTATTGTTTGTTTGATGGAGGGTGTCTCTGGCGTTAAAGTAAAAACTGCTACTCTAGCGCTATCTGTACCGTCGAAGTTGGTATTTGGCAAAACTGGCCGGGCCCTTGCAGAATTGGCTAACGGTGTCTTCGCGTTTGCTGATATAACTACTGTTTTTTTGATAACTTGTGGCCATCCGTAGACAATAAATGTTGTCACTTGAAATGAGTTAGAATATGGTAATCATCAATATTTGAAGACTTTCCGCGCTTAAGGGCGTTCTATTAAACGGTTTTATTTTATATTATATCGCCACATTGTCGTACCTACATGAAGCATCGCGATAAATTGAGATGTCGATAGTTGATCGTCATGCTGTATACGTGATCGTCCACAGCTCAGGAGGTCGATTCTCTAACAAAGAGTACATAAACTTCAAACATTTATTTCAACTCACAAACAAATTATATATATTATAGCGTATAGAGTCTCAATTTTTTAATTTTAATACATATTTTTGTGGGTCATCAGTCACAAAATATCAATTCAATCTAAAATAAAATATTTTTCGCTCAATATCAAAAGAATCCGTTTTTCGGGCCGCCATATCGATATATGTTTTTATGTAGGTATTTATTTATCTACAGACATACCTACATACATCATGGCAGTAGATAACCAAAAATCGAAGAAAATTATTTACTATTAAATATACAATATAAATCACATTACATATTTGGAAATCTTCAATTAAAAATCTATTTAGATTAATAGTACATTATGATATAAGTGCGGTAAGTTGAAAATTACAGCCGAGGCGATATTACTAGCCCGAGCCATCGGCGAGGGCTACAAGAAAGCAGAGGCTGTAATTTTCAAAGCGCACGTATGTCATACGACGTTTTATAACATATTTACGAGGTAATGGCGACATTTTCAAATAAAAACAATACAGCGAAAAGAAAAAGCGCGCGGAATTATTTTTACTTGTCCACAAAGTGATGCGCTCGCATACACTTTTTTTTTAGGTACAAAAACAGCCAGTGTTACTAATAAAGTAAATGAATATTTTTGTGTTTTTGTTACAGATGGTTGTAATTTATTGTCAAAATTAATCAAACTAAAGAATTAAATGTTTATTTGTTACATTTTATTTCCCAAAGTTAATTTTATTCATAAAATATTGACCACTTTCTTGACATAAAACCTCTTTGCTAAGACTTTTAAAAGTGTCTTTTATTTTTAGACGGCTTATCTTAAAACTTAAAAAAAAAACACTTGCCTTTTACATTACATTATTGTACGTAATGAGATACATTACGATATTGAAACCGGTGTAATTACAACCACATTACGAGCAAATATGTTATAAAAATAATTACGACACGGGCAGGTCTTGAAGTGCCGTGCTGGTGCTGGAACCAACTAAACACAAATATAATGCCATTGTGAGTAATATGTAAAAAATTATTATTTAAAGTTATTTGTTCTTCTACTTCTAAGCTTCTTTCTCTTCCTAATGCCATGATTTATAAATACATTGACAGGTATATGTCAAGCTTTGCGACCTATATTTGTGCAAATCTTATATAATATATCACTTCTTAAGAATTGCCCCCCAGACGACCGCGTGACGTTACCGGCATACCACAGACTGTGGTTTTGTTGCACTTTGGTATAGATAAAAAATGACATTTACTTGAATGAGGACGCAACGATCACGACCGGGTTTCTTATGCAGATTTAATTTGACAATAACGAATGATTCGATGATCGACGGCGGCTTTTTATTTATTTTACTTAACACAGCTCTTATTTTATTGTTGATAGATTTTAATATTATTAATTTAGTCCAATGTTATCTCACAGTCCTACATTGCATTACGTTGTTATTGATTTGTCTCCTATAGTTGAAATAATCTATTTGTTAGTGTTCACCAGTAAAGTATATTTAATAATATTGACCCTCTATCAACTGGATACTTCATATAGTAAACTATGCAATTAAATCCTGGATATCAAATAGGAAAGACTACACACAAATACGGAACCTTACCATAGCCTTTGAACACCTGAACAAGTTTCGGAGATGAGTTGCTGTCTTAAATAGCTCTGTAGACATTCGTCGACAACATGAACAGGTATCTATGCTAACACTTTTCTTTTTTTAATATGCAAGTATAAAATTAAATTTATAAAACCAACACTTCTGTACTTCTTCTTCTGTGAAAATAATAACAAAATCAGCCACTTCGTCACGCCTTATTGTATCTTTATTAACTTGTTAAGCACTTCACGTAAAATTACGTCACCCTGATTGGATTTAATAGTTAACATTGTCACTAGGACCAGCGGAAATCCGTGTCGTCATTTTAAGTTTTTAATTAAATCCACCTGCTTTGTATGTTCTGTCTGGCTTTAGTTTTTGTATAAATGTTTCACCTCAAGTCACTTTCAAAAATGTTATTTCTAAGTCATAATATTATTTGTACGTTTAGGTACTGCAAATTTAAGATACCGACGACATTGCTTAGAGGTTACAGAAAATTATACAATTATTCGTTAGCATTGCATTAAGAGAAATGGTTTTGGTTACATTCTCGGGAAAATCAGAGCAACTGTTTTTAAAAGTCTATAATATAAAAAAAATATAGCGGGCACTAAATGCGTCTCCGTCTGCCCCAAATGGGGCAAACGAAATTCACACATACACATATTAGTGTGGGTTCTAGTTATTGTAATTATATGATTTAATATTTAATTATTATAATTTTTATGTTATAATTATTAAAAAGTGACAAAACCAAACTTTTTGGAGAAGGCCTTTGCCGATCACATGGATCTAGGCTCAAAAATAAAGTAGATAGTAGACTAGTAATTGTAAGCAAGGAACGTAACGAAAGAAACATTTTTATGTTTCGTGTTCGTAATAAGGGCTTTTTCGTTTTCAAATCAAAATTTGCGCGCCATGAAAACAATCGTCCTACTTCTTTGATTGTTGAAAATTAGGTTTTCTACCCCACCTAGTGCTTAATATTTGTATATTACAAACAGTATTGAGATTAATAGCGTTATTATGTTAAATGGTCTGGCGATATTTGTGCTTAGCAAATCGTTAAGTGTCGATAAATCATAACGAGACTGGTTTAAATTTGAATTTGCGCCTAACCTTAAAACTAAACCTTGTAATTGGAAACAGACGTAATTGACTGTGCAGTTAAGTAGACAAAGCAACAGCTGGAATTTCAAATACTTGGGAAACCTATCAATTTATCTGTACCATGATAACGCAATAGATATTTTACTAGGTGAACGAAGCATTTATTTATTCTCTGTTACACTAAATAATAATAATACAGATAAAAGTTATATGCTGCAATGCGCGGCTTCATCGCTAACAAGCGGTCTCTTCCAGGCAGCCTATTTAGGACAAAAGAAATAGAGAAAATCGTACAAGGTAGGCGAAACAAATTAAAACAAATAAAAAATATTAGTAAATAAAAACAAAAAGCTTAAATCTTATAAATCTAATATCTCATAATTTTAATATTATCTGTGTTAAAGTACTTATTTATTTATTACTCACATAAAACTAATTATGGTGCAGGAAATGTTTGAATGTGAAGATATTTCTTAATTAATTACGTATATTAGTCTTTTTGGGTTTACTTGATCTCATGTCGATGTATTTTGGCTTGGATATTTGGAAATCTACGAAAGACGAAACGAAACGCGATTTAACTTCACAGCTTTTTCATCTGTAAACGGTGTTTCGTTCCCATCTGAATTTTAGTCATACCTACTTAATATCTGGATATTCTTTGGAAATCTGGATTTCCAGACGAAGTCCAACATGATCCAGAAAAATTATAAATTTCTTAGAACATTGTTGAACGCGGATCAAACCCACGAACCGTTGAATGTTAGCCATAAATTACGTTACCATTAGACCAATAAGAGGCACATGCTACTCTAAGTCACTTTTTAAATAAAATTATTGATAAAATATAATTATTCATAATGTACAGCCTTTTTAAATAAAACACTTTAACGATTTATTACGCGTTAAACTTAGTTGATAATAATTTTAACTACGGCCCGACGTTTCAAATGCTTTGCAGCATTTTAACTGATACATTTCGCGTTTTAAACCGTTAAAGTGTTTTATTTAAACGTGTACTACTCGCGTAAACTACAGACGGTATGTAGTCTTTTGCATAAATAAGTACATTGGTCTTATTGTACTATTTTAAGTATTATTTGAATCTTTTATTAGCTTACAACTTATGACAAGTTATCAATCGTATTTTAAGTCCGAATAACTCGAGCTCGGGACCTGTTCACTCGTCGATTCGTTACATAATCGTATTGTTCAAATATTCACACTGGGAGTACATACTAGGAGAAATACCTGTTCCGCTCGTGTCATAAAAAATCACTGTTGCCAACCGCTTTTTGTTTCGACTTTTGGTTAATAAGCGCCCTTGAAAAGACTTCAACGCTTCAAGTTCATTGATTTATGACTCCACTTGCGTAATTCGATTATGACATATTAGCGTGTTGTAGGTTATGCACGTGGCTGGTGGCTGTCGCAGCGTCTGCAGCGAATTCTTCGGGGACGGAAGGCCGAGACGCGCGTGCTACGGTCGACGACTTCGCTGCACTTGCAGCGCTCGCCTCAGTCCGCGTCGAATCCCCGGTAGGGCAACACCGGTGGTAAGAGGGGCGCTCGCGAGAGCAGTGATGCTCGATCGGAATATTTACAACGCTTAACTCAGTGTGTATACTGATTTTGTTTGCGTGATACAATCGCTGTGGTCGAGATATTATTGAATTTTATTATTTATTGATTATGAATGGAACAAAGTGAATAAGTCGAGTTATTTTTAATAATTAAAAATTTTCACGTATATCGGGATAATTAACTGTGGGAATAAAACTTTTCCAAAGTTACACTAAAAAACAAAACTAAGAAGAAAATCTAAGTTTTTAAGCGTTTAAAGTTGTTAAATTATTAAAGTGAAAATATATAGAGATCGTAAATAAAAGGCGGTAAACACGAAGTGGGATCTACTGAATTCTACCGATATCTACCGTTTTTGAGCTGGCAAATCCAGCGGTGCGTTCGCCAGTGTGTCGGGCGGGCGCGGGCACGCGAGTGCGGCGGGTGTTCGCGCACGTGCGCCCGCGCAGTGCCGCGGCGGCCGGCGAACAGCGCAGAACGCCGCACGCGCCGGCATGTGACGCGACGGTGAGCATGCGGCTGCCGCTGCTGCCGCTGCTCGTGCTGCCGCTCGTGCTTGCGCGCCCGGCAGCAGGTGAGTTATATTTTTCATTATCTATAAGCTTGGGGTTTAGTGATAAAAGGTGAAACGCCCCACCTCTTTAAGCTGTGTTTTGGTCTATTTAAGCTTTCAATATTTGGAGAATTGAGGGTTTGTTTATTTCTTTGACGAGCAATGTTATTTTTCCCGTTACTCTTTGTTTTTATTATTAAAAATGTGTCCTTTTAGTATGATTGACAACTATAATGAAAAAAACACCTTTTCTTTGTCTGTGAAGTGTGATCTTACTTTTGTTCTTGTTTTTTATTGCGCAGTGTTTTATTCATAAAGAAAAGAATATCCAGGAGATTTTAATATTTAGACATTGGCTTTTTTCACTTTAAAAATTATGTGAATTGACGGGTGACAATAATTCACACAAACGAAAAGTGTTGATGTGTGCAAAAATCAGACTGGTATAAATTCTTAATAAGAAAAAGACGTGTAAGTTTTCCCGCGACTTCCGTTGGACAAACAAGTACGCTAAGTTTAGAAGTTTCAAGGTATTCGATCCAGTTTCTACTTTACAATGGGGCAGACATATTTCTGTGTCCGACTTATTTCATTTACAAGATGTAGATTGAGTCAATCTCCGTCATACATCGCCAAAAATATTATTTATTTTTCCTAGGATTCGAACCCAGAACGTTAACTTTATTCTAGGCAACGTACCTTAACACTCAACATCTAAGCGAGTAGTACACATTTAAAACAGTCTCCCCGTGACCACGGCTGCTGTAAAGCATCCGAAACGTCGGGCCGAAGTTAAATATAATTTTCAAATAAGTTTAACTAATATATCGCGTTTTAAACCGTTAAAGTGTTTGATTTAAATGATTCAACATCTTTTCATACTTAATCCAAAAAGTATTATATTTTACGTTCTAATTCCTAATAAAATTATGTATTTGTATGTCTAAATAGGAAGGCGTTTAAACTACAAACGTTAAGAATCGTAACAAAAAGGTTTTCAAATATTAACTGATTGAAATGAAAACGAGTTGGCTTAGACGACAAAAACATTGTATTCATCCAAGCGAGTTAGCACTGAGGGTTTTCCCATTTTTTACGAAAAATCTTAGCGCCGCGTTAAATATCATACACGATGTATTGTTACTGTGTCATCATTTTCACAAATATTAAAAACAGTTACCATAATACCTTAAATGTTATAATGAAATACCTATTACCAACGCAGTTATGTTAATAAATTAAAATAAAACACTTCAACGGTTTAAAACGCGATATACATTAAACTTATTTTAGAAAATCATTGTAACTACGGTCCGATGTTTCGGACGTTTGCAGCAGCCGTGTCACGGGGAGACTAATATATAACGCGTTTTAAACCGTTAAACTGTTTATTCAAATGTGTACTACTCGCGTAAACTACAGACAGTATTTGCGTCAGTTAGTTAGTTTTTATTTCTTCCGATGTGTTCTAGAGCATTTAATTTTTTTTTCTAACAATGAGTAACCCCCATTAAACCCACCAGAAAATATCAATTATATTTATATTACACGACAGTGCACAAGTATTTTATTTACCTAATTTGCCCGTCAGTGTTGCTGTCTGTAATAACTAATACTCCTCAAACAATTACGTAAAAAATATCGTAGATAGTTTAATTGCAATATTTTTCCAGTATTTTAGTTAAGAATTCTAAATAATGACCACTTTAATTAGCTACTTTCAAACTGCGATATAAATTGTCTAAATTCCCGAACGAGATTAACTCGCTGTCGACTAGATCGATTAAAATTGTCCTAAATATTTAAAATATATTCGCCATAAACGTTTGAGCTGACGTTTTAGTGAAATTAATCGTGGTTATCGCTATCGTATTTATTCGCTCTGCGGCCCCAACTGTCTGCAAAACATCCGTTAAGCCGACCAGAATGCACTATTCACTATTTTATTATTCCCGCCGTTTAACGCTACGTCATCTATAGTAAAAAGCTGAAGAGTTTGTTTAAACGCGCTAATCTCAGGACTACAGGTTCGATATGGACAATTCTTTAGTTTTTTGCTTAGAATATTTATCGGGAAAAGTTACTACAGACTATAAAACTCGCGCTCTGACAGGCAGAAGCCTAGAATCAGAGGAAAATATCGAAAGAAACGCGAAATCTATTCATCTCTGTGGGTTTCCGATGTGTACGCTAAGAAAACGATTCATAGAAACCAAATATATGAAAGAATGATTCCTCTTTTAATTAGAATACTGATTAAAAAAAAAAAATAAAAAAGGGAGGGGAAAAACCCCCGACGTCGTGGGTAACAGTTTAAATGTATAAAAATTAAAAGAACGGTTTGCAAATACAATTCGAATAACTATTCTAAGAGCTGACACAGCTGTCTTGATTTGTTTGTTTAAGCCAGGAATTTTTCCATGAGTCTTGATTAAACAATTCGGGCCAAAAAAACGCTGCGAATATAATAGCGAAGAAACTCTATTTATCACTGAGGGCTCTTGCTCCCTGCGCTAAGAGGACATATCAAGTAACCAAAAAAATATCTACGAAAGAATGAGTCATCTGGTCTTCGCCTGGACATTAACTGGCATGAACCGTGAGTTTCGTTGACGTTCAATGCGTTGTGTTGAAGCTGGAGGTATTGTGGTGTAAAATTATTCTACTGTAATAAATTTATATTTTATAGAAAAATGTAAATGTATATCTAAAATAAAATAAAGCTTTGTTTATAACAGCAAAATACTCATGGTATAACGTGCATAAAAATATGTTGCATAATCACGTATTCAAAAACGTGAACAATTTTCCGAGTCGTAATTGCAATGCAGTAGTTTCCATCATGAAAATGAGTGAAGTAACAAAAAATACGGAAACCCGTAATGCATAAGGTCATTAGGTACTTGTAAGTACAGCGTCTACCTATCATTATCCACTATTGAGAATTGTAGGGGTATAAGGCATACATTAAGGGCTTAACTACTCCCTATGTTAAATATTGTCTGTGTATTACACATTTGAATAAGACACTTTGAAGGGAAACGTAACTAATATATCGCATTTTAAACCGTTACGTGTTTACTTTAGTATGAGGCTGCTAGAGTCCTAATATTGATAAAAATAATAAGAGTGGCCTAATAACTAAAAACGTGATTTTCAATAAGGAGGAAAATGAAAATGCGCAATTAACTTAATTTGTGTAAGATATGTGTAAACAATTTTCGGTCTCTGTGTTCTTATAGATTAACATTTCTAGACCATGAAAATATATGTTATTCAAGTCATAAAATTGCAGTTAGGCTACTCTGCCTCTAGCGGCCTCATATAGTCATTATCTGAATGATTACTTACTCAAATGTAAATGTCAAACTCAAATATCGAATATCAAATTACAACAGTCAATTGTCATTCATTGCAAAACGTTTTGAATTTTCGAAGTATCGTATCAGCATGTGTAAATAAATATCGAAAGCTGGATCGTCCGGTCGCCAAAGGTGTCCGGCGCCGCGACAATGTTTCTCGACGAACTGCAGACACCTGCGGGCTAGTGACGCACCGCGAACTATCGATATCGATACACGTTGCTCGTATAAATATCGAATACGTTACCAAATTGACATAAATTCCAATGCATCCTATGATAGTGCTTTAAAAATAGCATAATTCAGCGCTACGTATGTAGTATATCCACTACAATACGTTGCTAACGGGTTTATTGCTTTGAAATGAGTTCGACCGTCTGCATGCCAAACGGCGATTCCTGGTGATCGCCCCTTTGAATTATGCGCATGGGCACGCTTACTCGTTCAATCGCCTACGAGATTTATGCGCAGACAGCAAGAATAACGTATGCAAATGCTTCCGCGAAATTTGTCCACTGCGTCTAGTCAATTTTAACAAAGCTTTCGATAAGCCTAATCAAGGTGTAGCAATGGCCATTTATTTAACTCGCGTAATTGCGTTTAATGTAAAGTATATATTAGTAATTAAATGCAATAAAATATTGCAGACTAATGACAAAATTGCCTTTAGTAATTATCTGTTGCTACAGCTACGAGATTATTTGCGTTCTTGATTTATGTATACTTTGACAGATATGCTGGTCTAAATGTATGCCTAGTACCAATGAGTAGTGGGTGTAATCCCCGCCGTGTTTGTAGATGTTTTTATGATTTTTCTAAACATCCAAAATCTAGCGTTTAAATTAGAAATTACAAACATTCGTTTAAGTCGCCGTGAAGCTGTGAAGTGGTAATCTGCTTAAGAGGTGCAAAAGCCAAAACGCGTCGACACCGTGTGTTTATTAGCTGTTAAGATGTTTGGGCATTTGTTACCTTCCATCAAACGAACCCCTTGCTTTTGCATTTGACAGCTTGAATTAATCGACAGTCGTTTTGTATACATTGTCGTCTCGTCACTAAAGTGAATGCGCCAAGTTGCAACGTTGACGAAGTCTTTTATCAGTCACAGACTACACCTTATTAATATTAATAGCTACTACAAAATTATATGTTAATTCACTTGTAAATAACGTTATTTTAATATGACGATGCGTTATTACGAACGGTCACCGAAAATACAGAAGCAAAAATGTTTTTGTAATTTATTTATATCAAGTATAATCTGTGATAGTTAATATGTTTATTTTTCGTCTTCTATTGTACCTACTTTTAATGTAATCTGTCATTCTGATTCTTTTTCATGACCATATTTTTTTTTAATTTATAATATACTTTTCAGAGAATCTCAATTTTACTTCTTTCTTCTGTCAAATATAATCTGTGTTAATTTAATATTTTTGGTCTGCGCCTCTGTAGTACCTTTTTTAATTTAATCTGTAATAAAAGACATAAGTGTTAAGAACTGCAGACTGTTTTTTCCCTTATTACGAAGCGTTTGGAACAACGGTATTTTTTTATAACATAGAGCGTTAAAAATGAATATGTTACACGTCGAGAACCGAACTTCCAACCTTAACATGCCTGGTACTCACACCACTACACTAATTACGAGCTAGAATG